AGAGAGAGAGAGAGAGAGAGAGAGAGAGAGAGAGAGAGAGACTGCAAAATCAACTCTTTTGAGCAATACATTGTAATGCCATCATCAAAAACATATTTAACCTAACCCAGAGTGTTGCTTTCACTCATTCATGCAAGTTTGAGAAATCCTTGAATCTCCTGTGGCCACGTGGGGCTGCCTAAACTCTTGCTGGTTCAAAGCATACCTGGCTCCTCCTTGGAGTTCAGTGTGCAGCCAAGCTACCGCCCCACAGAGCACCCCTCCCCTGATGCATTGTTGTGAGGACAAGCTGAAGTGGGAGTGTCAGAAATGGTAGGAGTTTCTTTCAGAGACTGAGGTCAAGTTCAAGGCATTTAGACAGACTATGATGCAAAGTCAAATTTAATTTTGATACACAGAATTTTCATCACAACTAAAGGTGACATTAGCCGTGTTTCCATCAGCATTTTTTAATGCGCATTTTAAAGTATCGCATCAGAAAAGGTGAATGGAAACGGCATGATTCAAAAAAACTTCCTCTAATTCACAGACAAGTTGATACGCTCACTTGAGGTGGTTTTTGGGTTTTTCGAAAAAGTTAATGCGCAAAAGTAGAGATGAAAACACATTTGCTGAATAAGTTCTGACATAGTGAACATTTACCTCACATGGTTGATCAGCTGTTCTCACTGTCTGAACGGTACCGGACCGGTACCAGAGCGACTGCAGTCATGACTCGCAACAGGACCCTCCTCCTGCTGTCGGCGTATTCTCAGTTATTCCCGTAACGTGATGAGAATTGCATTTCTTTCTCTGTGTCTCCAGACAGTGTGTAAAATCGCCAGAACCAGTTGATATGCCAGAATAAGACTTTCCYGATAGTAGGAACACACTTCTCTCCATGGTCCTGAGATGCAACTTTTACTTCCTGTTTACTACACACATACGTCTGACGTAACTAATTCGCTTCAAGCCAGTTGATGGAAACACGTCTGATTCACATTTCTTCGTTTTTTTTTTTTCCTTTTTGCGCAATTTTAAAAATTCACTCAAAATTTGAATTATAATTGGATGGAAACACTTGACTGTGTTATAGTACTGAACTATGTGCATAGAAAATAACCCCCACCCCACCTTCAAATGTTTAGGAAATCTACATAATATATGACCCTTCACACCAAAATGAGATCAAATTTGGTTAAAATGATCTGGGCATGTTTTCACATTCCTTCTTTTAAAGATACATTTTGATCATTCTAATATCATGAGTGGTTCCAGAGATATGCCTTTATTTATCTTCCTAATCAGGATAACCCATTAATATTTTATTGAATTCTATTTTTAGATTTTTTTTTTTAAAATGAGGACTGTCTTACATCATTTAAAAAAGGGAACCTCAAACAGTATTTGGATATTGAGGTTTACCAGCTGGAAAGACAAAAAATCTTTTCTAGCTCACAGGGAAAAAGAYCAACRTTTAAGCCTTTTCTGCTCAAAATCCTGTTTCAGATATTTAATTTAAACAACCCATAGATAAAAGTTAATATATTTGAACAAAATGCAGTTGTTGCAAATGTTTAACCCAATGCACTATAGCTGCCTATTTCTCCACATACTTTGGGACTTTATCCTCAGTTCCATGTGATTGATCACATTAGAGGTAAATGACAACAAAGTTATTACCTCCATCTTATCTGTTGCCAGCAGAGGGTGCAGTCTATGTTCTGGATACACACTGTATATATTAATAGACCTGTCTTTTTTGATGAGGAATATAAGCCAGCAGGACCAAGTTTATTGGAGTTGCTTTTATTTTTGGAAGCAGAGTCTGCAGAGTAAGTGTGTGTGGCGAGTTTGTAGGAGGCAGACTCTGCCTCCTACAAACTCGCCACACACACTTACACTTACTWCATGGCATTTCTTTAAAAGATACAGTTAATGACTGAAAATGATGTCTTTTTAATATGGAACAAACAAGTGTCATGTCTGACATGTTAAGAAAATATTGTTTCAACCCAGAAGCTAATTGTTTTCAAAAATAATTATTGAAAAATACAAAAAARTACTCAGAGTTTTTTCCAAAATAGCAGTCAGACAAAATGTTTCACAAAGCAGCCATCCATTGATGAGTCAGAACCAAAGTTAGCTACATGCTGTCATAAACAAATTCCATAAACTTCTCTCTGTGCATTTTTATCCTTCATGYTTGGGATTGTAGAAGTGGGGAGCAGATGGTGCAATGCTTTGATTGCTGTAAATAAGTCCAAATGTTGCCCAGCCCTGGTTTCCATTGTATTTTCCTGTGAAACTAAACTCTGACACGCTTGTACTGTAAATTTGTTACTACCATTTGAGTGATGACAAGTTAACACTGTGATCACTGAGTTTGTTTATTGGCAAAGTGTGTGCAGAATATCTGGGAAACATGCAAGTGTTCCTGTCTGAACTAAATTTGAGGAGAGTAAAAACACTGAACTTTTAATAAATAAGGAAAATGAGGTTTAGGTTTCCTTTAGCTTATTCCTCCTTACCTTTTTACAAAATAAAAGCTTATAGAATACATTCTTAAACTCTTCATTTATTTATTTTTTGTTTATTTTTTTGCTAATGATATTCATAAGAGTCTTACGGTAAGACCGGAGGAGAGGGATTGAAGATAATAAACTTTCAATAAAACARAGCATTTTTACTTTCTGTGTGGCTTGTTTAAAGCAATGTTTCAATTTTCCTAAAGAGGACAATATCTAATTTACAGAGTAATTGGAAGTATTGGAGTTTTTGATGAAAAACTTTAAATAATCAACTTAAAAACAGAAATATGTGACTTGTAATGTTTTAAACCTTTATTGGACATATATGTAGATGAGACACGACAATAAAAACAAAGATAAGATAAACTAATTTAAGCTAAGATAAACTAAGGTATTTAAGACTAAGTTGTCCATTCTTTACTATTTGATAAGCCTAACTGAATTAAAATAAACTAGGCCACAATCTATCCTCATTTTTTATTTTTGTTTGTGGATTGATTGGCAGTGATTTCTTCTGTTTTCACAGTTCAAACATATATCCAGCTGGTCTAAAATGACTGAACCTTTTTACAAATGGCAAAAAGAAAGTGTAGGGATGAATGTACATTCCACTTAATGGAAAGCCTGTTYTTGTTAATGTCAAGGGATAATTAATGGAAGCACATCATCATTAATCCCTCCTTTGTTACCCTTTTTGTAACGTGTTAAAATATCATCTTTTAAAAGCAGCTGGTCTGATAAGATAAAAGTGTGAGGGATTAAGGTTAAAAGTAGGATTAAGTCTGTAGCAGTAAATCGAAATGAGTGCAAATGAAACGTGTCAAGCTGGTTTTAATCTTTTATGTTGTGATCTCACAGCTGTGTTCTGTGTCTCCTCCCACGTTCAGCCATGCCCTTCATCATCTCCATGCTGCTGGCGAGCCTCAACAGCTGCTGCAACCCCTGGATCTACATGTGCTTTGCGGGGCATCTCTTCCACGACCTGAGGCAGAACTTTCTGTGCTGCTCGGCCCGCTACCTCAAGTCGTCCCAGTGCCGCTGCGAGCGCGACTTCGACTCCAGCCACAAGAGCAACTCCTCCACCTTCGCCATCAAGAGCACCAGCAGTCAGAGGAGCATCACACAGACGTCCAGCACATAAGCCCCCGCCCCGCCCCACCCCCCAAACAAACACACACCCCACCACCTTCCATTAAGCTGCCCACTCAGCCTCTCAGATACATGCTGTCGCCCATAAAATTTCCAGCAGTTCGATTTCTTCAAATACCCCTCGCTGCTAGTCTCGCTGTTAAAGCCCAGAAGTGGGGGAAGAAACATCCAAGTGTTTTTATTTCAGCAAAGATTGAAAACTGAACTGTGAAGGTAAAAAACAAAAACAACAATCATTGCTGAGGTAATCATGGACTGACACGAGTACCTAAGTGACAAGAAAAAGTTGTATTGTTTAATATTTTTTTTAATGCAAATATACATTTTGTCTTGGTCGTGCATAAAAAAGGTAAATAGAGAAAATATTCTGTTGCACTGTTTTTATTTTTGTTCACAGCAAACCCAACAGATCCACTGGTCTCCCGTTAGGATGAATTTGTTCTACTGTCATGAACCCAGCATTGGCTTTGTTACATATTTGCACACATGTAAACTGTTACTTCAGCTTGTGTTAGACGTGAAATGTCATGCCTTTCACTAAAGATTTGACAAGTTGTTAAATAAAAACAAATAAAAACTGTAAGTAGCAGCAGATGCTGGTCTTCTTCTTTCTCTCTGTTTTTGTCTCCTGAGCAGGATGATGTTTACAGAAATTTGGGGGGTTTATTTCAGTTTAAATCATTCTGTTCAGCCTTTCAAAACTGCTGCAGCTCCATCTGTGAGGGTGTTTCAGGATGTGTGTGGCAACATTTCTGTGACAATAAAGGTAAAACTGTCTATGAGCAGGACTGTTTAATCAGGCGTCAGAACCACCTGCCAAATACTGCAGTGTACTGATTGTTCCTGGGGKGGGGGGGGGGTGGGGGGGGRAAGAGAGAGAGAGAATAATAAATGWCTTCCAGTAGAATACTTTTACATTTGTGGTGTTCAGACTGTGATTTCAGTTCCATTTTACATTTTAATTTCCCTTCTTCAGCTTCAAGGCTTCTTTCTGCTCAGTTATTTAGCTCACCCTGAAGTTTTGTCCTTCTGCAGCACAAAATACTGAACTTATGATCAGCAAATTCAAGCAGGTCAGTAATTTGCACAACCTTTTATTATTTATTTAATAATTATTCACACAAGGCTCCTAAATGTTTGGAGACTCCTTGAAATCAGTTTGAATGTGTGATTTATTTTTATCAGGGTTCATATCAGCGGGATGTTTTTGGGGAAGGTTTTTTCCATAGTCTGGCAGATTTTCAGTGGAGCTCAGAGGTAATTATCTCCTGGAATTTTGTAATTTTTTAATATCATGGCTCGATGAGTCCTCAAGAAGTTTTATTCAAAGAGTGCRAGGCTTGTTTTGATGTTTGTGTGGATTTTGTTGGTGAGGAGGCGAGATGTTTACTTTTCTCTTCTTCTGACTGCTCGTGCATAAAGGTCACATTGTGCAGAAACAGAACACCATCACACCTTCTTTTGCACACAAGCAGAAGTTTTTCATAGCATTTTTATAAGTTAAAGCATCTGAAATTAAATGATTAATGAGTTTTTGCTCAGTCACACAAGTGTCCACTCAGATACTGCTTTATAATAATAAAAAGTTTGTCCTTTTTTTATTTTTTTAATTGTTCTTAAATTTTAGTAATTTGCTTATACAGACTGAAAATGTAAAAACACAAGTTGTATGTTCTTTAAAAGCTTTTGAACATTTTCATTTATTTACAGTATATTTTAGTGAGCTCTGACCACAGATGATGTTTCTGAACAACACAGTTTTAATTGAATGCAAAGCATGTTAACAAAGTGTCTTTTTCTAAGCAGCAGCTAAACTCAGTTTGTATTTTCCAACACTTGTGAAGAAAGAAAAGACAAGAAAGCAGCCAGAACAGAACGCGACAAGGTTACAAAAAAAAAAAAGGTTGCTGATGGCACTGAACCATCAGTGATGAGTCTGAGACACACAACAGCATCCTGTAGTGGGTCACAGCTCACTGGTCAGTGCAGCTTAGCCCTTTCAAAATAAGACTGACTTTTATTTAAAATGATATCCAAAGGTTCTGGAAAGTCTTCAGGTGAAAACTAATGATGACCAAATACTGTCTTTGTTTAACACCTCAGACTATTACACAATAATTAGTATTTTTTAATAGTTGTTCAAATAACACTTCAAACGCTTAAATGATGTATTGGTAAAATATCATCTTTCCAATCAAACATGAACCAAAATCTTCAAACAAAACAAGTTTCAAATTAAACACATTGCATTTTTGTAAAAAGGTGACAGTCAGTATTCTTCTAGAAATCTATTTGGACATTAGAGATTAAAATTAAAATAAAGAACAAAAATAAACATCACAATAAACAATAAGGAAGCTGTTTCCAGGCCTTTTTCGTTTTTTCATACCTTTAAGCATTGTTGGGAGCAAAGGGAAGCTAACTAACACCTGAAAAAAAAACAAAGCTTCAAAACAAACTTTTAACATGTAAAGCATAAACATCATCCACAACTGTGGAAAGGTTGTTTCTTGTGAACAAGCAGCTTTTATTGTGAAACAAGTGAAAGTGCACACCCAGAGTTTTCTCATAATGACCGTCTGCTGTCTCCTCAGGGAGGAAGACCTAGAAGTGCCAGAGCTGTCACCGTGTACCGCCTGCTGCAGCTGCCACTGCGCCTCTGGTGGCAAAACGCACAGTGGGCTTTTCAGATCTCTGAGTCTGAGTCAGGAGGGTGGGGACACGGTGCGTTACAATGGGAGGAGGATGAGTCAGTTAGAAAAGCAAATATGCCAGGACTTATTTGGGGTTGTATAAAAAAGACACCACACCTCATCTGATCACACTTCAACACCGGGCTGTGGGCAGTTCCTAGGCCTCCTTGCGCAGCGCCACACGCACACTGCTGAAAATCTTGCCCAGAGCTTCGAAGAAGGGATCACAGAAGGTCTGAATGCAGAGGGAGTAGATGCGGCTGACGCACTGCGACTCGATCAGGCAGCTCTTGATGCAGGGAACCACAGCCCAGATGTGACAGAACGAGATGCAGGCAAACAGGAAGCCCCAGAGCAGAGCCACCGGGATGCCAAAGACAGCAGACAGAACACGGTAGCACCAATACTTGGACACGGTGAAGGTGGTGTAGCTGAGCTTCCACACCCCGTCCAGGCTGTGTGTCCCATCTGGCTCTGCAATGACATCCTCAAACTCCACCTAAGTGTAAAGAATCACTTGTTAGTACAGATCACTGAGGGCGCGCAGCTTTTAAGTCTCTCTAACATGCACATCTGAAGCACAGGCTTTGAAAGGCTGCAAAGTGTTGCAGTTAAATTTATGCAGGGAAATGTATTATTCCGTGCACTCCATGTAGTCAAAGTGGTGAAATGGTGTTTAATGCTGCATCCAGATCAGTCAAAAAAGCTCCATTTCCAGCAGCTTTTTCAGAAATCAACCCTAGCCTCATGTAAAATTCATGGGAGCGGCTCTACAATGGTCCAATCTGCTCTTTGGGTTTCATTACGTGCCACCTGGTCCTTCTGGAAAATATAGACCATCACATTCATAGTTGAAAATCAACTAATTGTTGTCAGTAATCTTGCAGAATGCAGACTCAGCACACATCTGTTCTCAGCATGCAGATTACGGGAGCTGTTCAGTGAGGGAAGAAACAAGTAAATTTCTTCTTCTGAGAGAATAGATGGAAGTTTACAGCAGTAATATTCTTTTTAGGTTTATTAAAGTAAATCTGAAGTTATTTGCTTCAACTAACAAACACTTGAATACCTGGATGGAAAATCAGACTTCTTAATGCTTTAGATCCTTTGAAGTAGGTTCTGTGGAAAGGTCATGTATAAAAAGTATCTTACCTGCCACAGACAGCTCTTATAACAACCTCAATTTGGAGAAAAATAAAGTTTAGTTCTGATTAAAAATGACCCCAGTCCCATATGTTTTATTGCAGTTCATGTTATTTATAAACCTTTTCACATTATGCAAATATTTTTATGTCTTGATATTCCTGCTACAGCTAGCTCGCAAATAACAATAAAATTCCACATAAATGACCACAAACTGTGAAACAGATGTGGTGTTCAGGTTTATAAATAAGTGTTAGGAGATAAGAGTTGTTTTAAGATATTGGAACTTGGATTTGGCACCACTTAGTCTCACTGTTTAATCCATTTCTTCAAACTGAGGTTGTTATATAATTATTATTAGGGTTGGATCAGTGGTGAGCACTGTTGCCTCACAGCAAGAAAATTGTGAGTTCAAGTCCCAAGTTGGGTCTGGGGTCTTCCTGTGTGGAGTTAACATGTTCTCCTCATGTTTGTGTGGGTTTCCCCCCACAGACCAAAAACATGCATGTTTAAGCTGCCTACAAACAAAATCAGAAAACTAAATATAATTTCATCTTTAATCATAGCAACAATTTGAAAACAAACATTAATCTATAAAAAGCTGTAGTACAGTGTGTATCATCTTTGACCCACCCCCCTCGTTCCCAAAATAACGTCTGTGCTCTGCTTGAGCAACTGGAATAGCTCTTGGTCTATTTAAAGATTTGTCAGCCAGTACAATACCATCTTTTCATGTCCTTTTGCACAACATGTGCATTTTTTTTTACATATTTACACTTGCAATAATGCTGTTTACATTCTTAAACTTTTGCCATTTAAAAAAGTTTCACGTCTTTTCTGCACAAACCTTCACCACGTCCTCATTGATCTGCTTGGGGTCTCGGTTAATTAGATCGATCTCTTTCGTGTGGCTGTCCTTTACGATTTTCTCCTCATTGGYGTTGTACTGGTACTGATCCGCCATGGCTGAGGTAACAGGTCCCGCTCGAGTCGAACACAGAGAGGATACGCCTTTGTGGACACTGCAGGCAGCAGCCTCGATTCACACACACAGACACACACACACCCTGTAACAAGACTGCGACGCCCCTGCTGACATGCCAAGGGACAGCTGCTCCGGACATCCTGGTAAAAATGGAGGCCTTACCTCCCCACCACCCCACCCCCCTCCTCACCCCACATACACACCCACAAAGAAGAGTGCACTCACAAACATGCACACAATGTAAAGGCCACAGACAGAAAACGAATGCCTTAAAGCAGAACCCAGAGCTGTGTCACATTTCACGTGGAGTTGTTGAGCTGAGTGGGGCAGGGTTTGCACGCTGGCTCGAACTTCCACACAAATACACTCTCATCGCAGCCTGCCATTTGGACCAAAGATAAGTGTTTATAAGCGCGCTACATCACAGATGAGACTCACAAACACATCAGTACAATCACAATTCATGTTTTACTTTGTTGCTAGGATGAGGGATACAATCCTGCCTTACTGAATGGTCATTTTCTGCTGATGGTTCCTTTAAAGGACTTGTTTGGATGTGATAAAATGTCTCAGGTGTCTTAATTTTTCACACTTGTTAGAAAGACTGATAACTTGAGCAATGCCCTTGGCCTCTATGCATAATTCTGATTTTAGCGAAGGTGGAACGAGTMCTCCAAAATAAAACTCACACAGCCTTATTTAAGCATTGCAGTTGTTGCTATCAATCACTGCTTTCCATATCAACGAGCTGCATAAACAAATGCACCCCTGGGAGAGCTGCCGGCTAAAGAGGGCCAAAGAGAAGGTGGTGCAGAAATACACCCCATGAAAGGCGGTACAACCACAACTGTGGCTGCCTGATAGTATTTGCCTCAATCAGATTGGTGTAAGAAAAGTACAGGAAGCGTGGATTGGCATTCCTTGTCCTGATGCCCTGATGGTGGCTGAGACAGGATCGAGGAGGGAGTGGTGAAACGAGATCAGATGCGTGTGATTGGGTGCCAGGCCAATTAGATGTCTATTCTTGGCGTGGCAGTAGAGACAGAAGAAGAGGCAGACGGACAGAAATAGCTCGAGGGCATACCTCCTTTTTTCACGGGTATCTATAGTCAACTGAGACGGTGGTGGCTCTTATCATCCATTAAATGTAGGCAGAGACACATGGGGCCCTCAAATCCGTGTGGAGTGGATAGCGGTGATATCACTGACTCAGGTTATTTGGGTGCTCTTGTTTCCACATAGCAATGTTGGGTGTGTCACTACATAACACATGTATCAGTTCACATATAATTATTCAAAAAAGCCAATTTTTATCAACAGATATTATCAGTTATTACAAGTTAGGGCAGCTATAAGTCTGTTATTGTATTTCTTTTTTCATATTTTAATAAAAAAATAAAACAATCAAAAGCCTGATGCTGTCTTTCAGTTTTTCTCATTTTTTAAAATAAATTATTCCCATTATTAACTTTCAAATTAGATATAAAAAAGTACGAGATGTTTAATATATTGAATTTTAAATACCTATAAAAAAGTTGGAACAAAGGCATTTTAGAGTTGGTGATGAGGTTTATAAATGATTCAATCATGACTGGGTACAAAAAAAACCTCATAGACTCCAGCAAAAATATGCAGAGGATCTCATCCGTTTGATAAAAGTGTTGAAGAAAAACGGTCAGGAATTGCATATTTCTCTCTTTAAGATACATACTGTATGTGGTTCAGGAATTAGGAGGAGTTAAAAAAATTAAGCTACAATCTCGCAATTCTGAAACAGACGCTTACTATTCATCAACCTCAAAAATAACAATAAATAAAAAAATCTTGCATCAATAACTGGTTTAATATTTGATATTTATGAGGCATCATCCTTTTTTTCCAGATATTTATTCATTTTTAACAAGAGACTGCAGAACTACATGTGGCTCCAACAAGAGGAAAAGTTTTAAAATTCTCAAAATAATCCCAAAGAGAGCGAAATTATTTCCAARTGGTCCCCAATCATTAATTCTTCATGAAGACAATTTTAGACTTGTTTTTCTTATTCTTTTTTTTTCATTAAGAAAACATTTTGAAAAATTTCTCTACAAGTGTTATTGAAACACACTGCACTTTATTGTGACCTTTATTAAAGGTTAGGCTGCTGTATAATTTACTCATATGAAGAACTTATAAAAGTCATTCTAAGAGGCAGACCCGAAGAATTCTATAAAAAGTTTATTCTGAACGGATACATAATCATTATACCAGATATTCTTGTGAGACAAAATTAATTATAAGTAGGGCTAAGACAAATTTTCTTCAAAAATCAGTTGTTTACAGAGCTTTTTGGGTATGGAATAAATTACTAAAAACATCAGAGAATTAAATAGTACTTATTCTTTTAAAAGAACACTTAAATCTCTGCTTTTAATCCAGATTCATGTGGAATTTGTAAAAAAAGAGCTGTTTGATTATTGATTGTGTGTACTATGCCTATTTTAATGTTAATGCAAATCTGCCTTTTATTAATATCAGTGACTATAAAATTACCTGGAAGTGCCAATAGTGGCATATTTGTTTTAGACTGAGCCAAAATGTATGATGTATACGTACAATAATTTGATATGATTTGAACATGTTCCTTCTATAACTACCTGATATGGTTATTGTTTGTATTTGTGTGCATGTGTGTGTGTTCTCTGTTTTTTTTTTTTTTTTCTGGTACTTTGGTTTTCTCCAGAAAACATGCATGTTTGATTCTTAAAGGGGCAATATGTTTCTCAGGCATATTTAAATTCTTTACCATAATGAAAGTAACTATGTCACCTTCATTTGTTATTAAAAYGTTGTTCATATGTTTAAATAGAAATTAAACTTGACTTCTCATCATATCTGTTTTTAAAACACATTGAAATTGGTCTCTGTTTCTTTAAGAACCCCCTTCCACTTCTGTCCCACCTGTTTCCGTATGGGATGGGTGGGTGKGTGTGGTCTGTGATGAGGAAGCTTGGCTTGGAGACACAGCCCAGAGGCGGAGCTGATCCCAAAAGGAGGTTCTAGTCCCAACCAGTCATTTTTGCTCCCCTGCCTGGCTGCCTCAGGACACTGCAGGATTTCTCAAACATGCATGAATGAGTCAAAGCAAGACTCTGGACATGGTTTTGATGAGAGGATAACATTATAACATGATATGAAATAATATACATGATATAAAACTCAAAAAAGTTGATTTTACATGATATTGCCCCTTTAACTTTCAGTTGTTCCKAGGTGTGAAATGGTTGCTTGTCATTTGTCTGTGTGTGTCTCTGTAAAGGATGTGGGATCTGTTCAGGATGTACCCAGCCCCTCGCACAGTGCCTGCTGGAAACAGAAACAAGCTCCTGGAAAGGAAAAGCAGGTAAAGGAAATGGATGGACAAATGGTCTCAGTTCTAGAAAGGCAAGTACAAATTAAGAAAAAATAACAAACCATCCTTAACATGACTGAAACGGTTTATTTATGATAGCAAGAAATAGATTTTCTCAGTTATCGTTAAATCGGAGCTCATTTTTTGTGGAGACCTATTATAAACCAAGCCTCAGGCTTCTGAGAACAGTATGCTTATTTATTTTAGCACAATCACAGCTGACTTGTTTGATGCTTTGTTTTAAACAGATTGTTTGATGTCATCTTTCTGAAGGTTACCCTTACAYTGAACTTGTCAGAGGAGCTGCAGGACTGTTGTTCACATGGAGTGTCCTTGAACATCATAATCATTACTGACAACGGTGTTGAACGTTGTGTGAGAAGGTGCTCTTTGAACAGTCAGGAAGCAGTTTCTGTTTCCAAACATGTCAAAAAAACKTAACAAGAATGGGATGAATTAGACTTTTTTTAAAGCAAAAATAAGTTCACCAAATAAAATTGGACAACTGTTTTTACTGTTTTTACACAAACATACCCTCTCACAATGTTTCATAAAAAAATCCTTTTTATGGCCTCTCAGGTTTCTGAGCACTTGTTTGCTGTTTGTGCTGGGCCCCATCTTAGTGTGTTAGAGAATCTATACGTCAGTGTCACTGCAAAATGGGAAAGCTGATGAATGTGTTGGCATGCTAAATATCATGACAGGTGCACAATAACACAAACTAATCACAAACAATACACGTTTCCTCTTAGGAAATAACAAACAATCCGTCAYCGCTGGTCTCTCATGCATATCTTCTGTTTTGCTAAATCTTTTGGTTCTATCTGGTTTTGTTAGTGGCCAGATGGATGATGATTTGACCGCAGCACTTTCCAAAACTGCTGCAAAAAGGACTGATGAAAACATTCAGTATGCTGGCCCACACCGTCTGGATCCATCGCATGTTGATAAGAAGGAGCTGCATACAGGGCATGATCAACCTGGAAGGATATRAAGGGGAGGGTGAAGCAAGAGCTAATTTAGCAAATATTAATAAAAAAAATTCTCCCTACGGGGTGGAAAATGTATCAAAGAAAATCTTAATTAGCACCTACAGAAAATCCTCAACTCGCCTAGCTTGTTTTACATCAGAGCTCTGATCGTACCAGATGTGGAGGCAGCTGAGCGTGGCGAAGAGGAGCCCTGCTGCCAGAGACACGGGCACGGCCAGCAGGAGGGAGATGAAGCGGTAGCACCACAGCCTTGACACCTCGAAAAGGGCGTGGCTCCACAGCCACACTTTGTCAAAGCTCCTCACAGACGGGGGCTCTGCAATCACGTCCTCGAACAGGACCTCAACACACACACACATAGAGAGAGGGATCCTGTCAGAACTTTCCCTGCAGGCATATATCTTCCACACTGTAAAAAGTTAACAAACAGAATGACAGTGATGGATGTGACACATGCCTGGAAAACAAGAATTTGATGCACAAAATGGAAAGGATCTAATGGGAACAAAAACTGCTCAGTGCACATCACTGTGTCCACTTGAGGTCAGCAGTGTGCCATGCATTTCCTTCTAACTAATCTGTGTTCAAAAGAAGTTTTAGACTTCAGCRCAAATGGAGCATATAAATTGTTATTTATTCTACATATAAAAATACTGTATCAAACAACTCAACAGTTACAAACAGACTGGTTGTAAAGAGTGTTTTCATGGCATGTTCACACACAGTATTTAAAATCAACTTATAATTGTGCCCCAGATTGAGTCTCATTCTTGTTGTTTAATGTTTCTTCTTCCCTTTTTTTAATTTTTGTTAAAATCCTCACGACAGCACCCAGTTTTTACCTTCAGATTGCTGTTGACTCTTTTGGGATCCCTGTCGTGAATCAGAGGCCTCACATCTTCAAGAGTGGAGTCCAGCTCCTCAGAATGCAGATCCACCCTCACCTCCATCATTTCCCCGTGCGGGCTCGTATCCTTTAATCTCTGGTCCACCATTTCCACCTGGCCACGTTGCGTCCCTGCTCGCTGTGGTTGGAAACATGGAGGACAAGCAGCTGTTTCAGGGACGGATGACGGGCTCGTCGCTGACACCCAGGTGGAACATAACAGACCGATGACTGACTTGACCTCAGATTTTTATTGTCTTTGTGCAACACATGACACAAACTGTCTCATTTAGAGCTGCATGAGGAAGCTGGCTAATTAGAACCAACTCTGACTGAGTGTTGTAAGGATGCTCTGGTGCTGCCATTATCATCCAGTCCTTTCATCATGAGGACTGTGACTGTGTTTGGTCATTAAATGCATATTGCTCAACACTTCAGCAGCTTTGTGTCAGGAGCTGCTTTGCAAACAGCCTATTTGGGCTAAAATGTGACTCACCAACAGACCAAAGTCTTTAATGTTCCATCAGGGCCTGAATGCTCTGCAGGACATCAAATTGTATCCTTAATCCATTTATTACACAGAGAAAAAGTTTTGCAGCACTGCAAATGCCTCACCGTGAAAATCAAACAATCCTATTTTGAAATACTTGACTAAAGTCTTTACAAAAGGCAGAATTTTATATGTTTCTTGTGTGTAAACATTATTAGCTCTGTCAGAAACAGAAAATTGTCTCCCGGGCCAAGACATCTTTTTCTCTCAGTCCATTCTTGTCTCTAGCATCAAAGGCAAGAACTCAATCAGCTTTGTTTTCCAAGACAGCTCTGCTACGTACTCATTCATGTCAAGTTGTACAGACTGTCCTTAAATTACATGTATTTTCACCCATTTTGCATGTATACAGACAGGCAGGGCAATGTTACAGATTTTTTTTAAAACCTTTCCTTCAGATTAATTTAAGTCTCAGAGCTGGCAGGCTCTAAGGAAATAATTTCATGACCTCCTCGTCCGTCCCTACATGCTTTTCTGCCACTGCTGACGCTTTTCCACGTCCTCTCTCCATGGCCGACAGCATGCTTGTTCCAAAAACTGTTAAATTGTGTGAGTTGTACAGATTTCTTTGGGAAATTTTTGGAGTTCTGAGGGTCAAGACACAGGTAAATGTTCGAATGGATTGACATGTATTTGTTTCCATTTATTTCTAATGTAAAGATCCTGCTGGTTAAACAGTCCTGATGGTAAGATTTGGTTTGTTCTTTAGTGTTAAGATGTTGTTGGGTGTGAGAGCTTCAAGATCATTTGCACCATCTTGTGTAGTGTTGAATGATTATATTTGCATTTCTTTCTCCCAGTATTTTGCATGTTCTGACAATCATCATATGTGCTGCACATTCATGAAGATAAGCACCCTAAATGGGTTGTGTCTGTTACTATTGGCAAATTTGACAGACACAATCCTCGGTGCACACGATTGATAAATCAGTTTTGCACGTGCTAAATAGGCATTTTTGCATGCAAACCTTTGAGAAATCAGCCCCTTTGTGTGTAACCAGTGGCTGCACCAGCAGCAACATGAAGTGAAGAGCAAAGACAGGTTTTTAAACAAACAGTTTCAGGACTGGAGTATTATTCTTTTTCACGATGAACGTTCCTCCAAACATGAGCTTTAACTTGTGTTTTGYGTTTGGGTCTTGGCTACGTTTCTTTTAGAGTTTGGTATTTGCTTTTTCTTACACTTGTCCTAAGAACTTTCTGYTGTGGGGGATGTGTAGTTCCAGGTTAATCTATGTGAACAAGCACAAACGAGGCTTCTCAAGCAAATCTATAGTCYCCTCCAAAAGCATTGAAACAGCAAGTCAAATTCTCTTATTAGTGTTGATCAATGAAGACATTTGGGTTGAAGATCAAAAGACGAACATGAGATAAGAGTTCAGAATGTCAGCTTTTATTTCCTGGTATTTACATGTAAATGTGTTAAACAACTCAGAACATACCGCCCTTTGTCTGAACCCACCCATATTTCAAGTGAGCATAACTATTGAAACATGTGACTGACAGGTGCTTCTTGTTTGGGTGGCTGTGGTAAAGTGGTTAGAGGAGTTGTCCTGGAACCGGAAGGTTTGACAACCCCCCCCCCCTCCCCCCCGGTCCGGTCGACTCAGTCGTTGTGCCCTTGGGCAAGACACCTTACCTGCCTTGCCTATTGATGGTGGCCAGAGGGTCCGGTGGTGCCTGTGTATGGCAGCCTCGCCTCTGTCAGTGTGCCCCAGGGCAGCTGTGGCTACAATGTAGTTTACCACCATCAGTGTGTGAATGTGTGAATGTGTGTGTGCATGGGTGAATGTCCGTAGTGTGAAGCGCTTTGAGTGTCCTGGATGGATAGAAAGGCGCTATAYAAGTACAGTCCATTTACCATTTACCATTTTTATTGACCAGGTGTTGCCTTTAAGGTTGATTGTTCAAACATTAAATAGTTCTGCATGACTAGTCTACTTTTTGGMCTGGGTTTAAACCYATAAAGTARGTATTACTTGTTAAAGAGGATAAACCAACAAGAAGACCAGAGTCTATGGGAGAAAAGCAAACCATTTTGAAGATGACTACAGAAGGAAAATCAATCTTAGCCATTAGACAAATGGCAAGCACAACAATTTGAAATGTCCTGAATAAGAAAGAAACAACTGGTGTACTGAGCAACAGACTCCAACAGGTCGGCCAAGAAAAAACAATAGTAGCTGATGACAGAAATATTGTGAGAGTTGTGAAGAAAACCCCAAAGCATCAGTAAGTGACATCACCACCGACCTCCACAGTTCAGGGGTGACGGTATCACAATCCACTGTTTGAAGATGACTCAGAGAGCAGAAATATAGCCACCAAACCCGAAGATGCAAACCACTCATCAGTAATAAGTTTCAGAAGGCCAGGTTGAAATTTGCAAAGTTGCAAAAGTTCTGGAAGACAATCTTATGGACTGATGAGACCAAGATTAATCTCTACCTAAGTGATGGAAAGGCCAAAGTGTGGAGAAAGAAAGGAACTGTTGATGAGCTGAAGCACACAAGCTCAYCTGTGCAGCCTGGTGCAGGTCATGTCACAGTTTAGACATGCRTGGCTGCTTCTGGAACAGGCTCATTAATATATATTGATGATGTAACTGATGATGGTGGCAGCAGAATGAATTTTGAAGTGTACAGAAACATTTTGTCTGCCAAATTCGATGGGTTGCAGGCTTGTGGCAGTCATTGCGAGGGTTGTAACGGCAAATATTAAATATCATTTACTTTAAGATAATTTGTACCAATACTTTTTTTCACCTAAAAAAGCTGTGGTGTAATACAAACAGTGCTAAATCCTACATTGTTTATTTAACACAAGCAAATACCAGGAAATACATAAAAGCTGACATTCTGAACTCTTGTCTCATGCTCATCTTTTGATCTTAAACTCAAATGACTCCAGTGAACAACAAAAACAAAAGAATTTGACTTGCTGTTCCAATATTTTTGAAGGGGATTGTATAAAGCTTGGAACTCCACACAACTCCAAACAATTAGGATTGAGAAAGCTTCCTGGATAGGAAAAGTAACATCTTCAGCTTCACAGAAGTCCAGTTGTTGTTTTTTCTTTAAATTGTTTATTGGATTAGTCCTAGACTTGATCCTTCTGTGAAGATATGATTTTAGTCACACTGTAGGTAATACGACTTTTTTTCTGCAGGAATTTTATACTAAAACTTCAGGATTTAATGAATGTTGGGTACTAACAGTTAGTTGCATGTTTAATGGGTGTTATTTCTCCTCCTCTCTAGGATGAGTGTTGATTAGTTACTCTTTGCATGTTTATGTCTGGAAGCTAAAAATAACCAGTTTGTGAAGCAATGAGCAGGAGAAGTCAAAATGTCAGTTTGAGACTAACACCAACTCTTGCATGCACCRTGGTGCTGAATTTATTGACTGGTTTTCTGTTTTAGTTCCATCTGTGATGCTGACTAGACCTCCTTTCGATGCATCAGCTGAGCTCAGAACATTACCAGTTGATGGTAAAATGTGGAAAYCATCTTGTAACCAAATGTTATGTTAAAATGTATACAACTCTGTGACATCTAATCAGCCCTAAATCGATCTTCAGCGTCCAGGGAAATAATTTAAAATCAGACAGAGCAGGACCAGAGGCTGAGCAGGAAACTCTGATGGAGACAGATGTCCAAAGAAAAGAAGTGGAGAAAATTAGTGGCATATAGCGTCCTCTGTTGGTCAGGACTTGTTATTGAACWTTCATTTTCTTAATTGCTGCTCTTCATCAAGTGCAATAGTTAAAGTAGTTGCTTGTTTTCTTTACAAAGTCATTAGCTGTTCTGTTAGAGTGATGGCAGCAGGCTCTGTTTAGAGTTTGAAAAATATATTGGTTCACATGGAAACTTTGTTGATTTGGACTTTTCAAACTATTTTTAGAAACTATTCAGATCCCTGTAAAAAAGAAAAGGCAACTATTACATCCAAACCCTTCAAGTTTAGATTATTTAAATTGAGTGTTTTGTGGAAATATTATGAGCGTAGAACATCTTACCTGTTAGAAAAATCTCTATGAAAAAAAAGGACAACAATAAAGAACAAGAACTTTAATACTGAAAAATATCATCAACAATACTTTTTTTACATTTTGTTTTATAAAAAAATAAGACTAAGAGTGTAAAACAGTTCGTGTCAGTGCCAGATGAGGTGTGGGTGTTATAAAATGTGAATAAAATCAATAAACTGACTGAAAAATCAGCTTTTAAAACCTTAACCTTRTTCATTTTTGTCACTGATCAGATTTGAAAATACTACCACAGTTTTTTACAAATACTCTAAAAKATCTAACAAGATTCAAAGTTTTAGCTCAAATAGAATGTTTGCATTATGTGTGATWATTATTTTAAGCCATTTACTGATTAGATTATCCAACTGTTAAAACACTTTACATGCATCTGCGTATATTATCTTCTACAGCTGCTTTAATGTCCTTAGATACAAAACTCCAGTAGTGTAAGAGCAGTGTTTARCACTCTTACTGCAGAATGTTTGCTGTTATTTGCTGTAACCACACCACCCTGTCTCATAGTGATTTTTAAAGGACCAGTACAAACAGCAGAAGCCATAAAGTAGCACTTTGTTGCCATTTTTGGCAAATTATCAACACTCGGTAATGATTTCCATTGTAAATTCACCATCTCCACCTYACATTACATCAATATTACTGCTACATCCGTCCATATTTGCAGAGACCCATATCTACATGTAAATAAGTTTCTGACTCAAACAGGCTCCAATCAGGATCTAAAGCTGAACTCATAYATCAAGTCAGAAAGGGGCTTTGTTTTTACGTGAGTCAGCGGCCCACTTTATTTCCATGGCGACAAGGCAAGAGATGACATTAACCATCTATCAGCATATTTGTTTCACACAGAAAYGCTGAAGTATTATTTGTACACTTCATGGCTGTTTCTCTCCCTAAATGTCAACAAAAGAGTGTGGGGGCTGTCGGGGAGATTATTAAAATAAGTGAAAATCACAGCATGCTCCTGTTAATCAAGTCATTTCTTTTTTTCTTTTTGCCACTTCAGTAGAAAGCAGAACCGAATATCTGAATATTAGTATCTTAGCTTCTTCATCATCATCATCAAAAAATAAAATAAAAAAAAATCAAGTCATTTCTTAAACATGAAGAACCACCAGTCAAACATTTACAAATACCAGTGAACAGTTATATAAAGAGGTCTACAAATGCTTTGTTTTACACTTAAATAGTTGTATAAACTACACTCAAAATGTACTTTTTTACAATTCTATTTTTTGTAAACATCATTAAACCAAATTCAGTTGGAACATGTAAGAAAAGTATAYACAGGGTAAAATTATTATTTATAAGTATATTTTGTTTTATTACAGTACAGAATATTGACCTTGAATGAGATGAGTTAAATTAAAGAAAGAGTTCAGGTCTTTTAAAATGGTGATTTTGTGAAAAGAGTTAAATATTTTATAGCTTTAGGAAAATAATGTTTAATTCTGACTGGATTGATGACTTGATGGTTAATTTGAACAAGACCAAAATCATGGTGACTAACTACCATTTCAAAACAATTCACCAACATTTTAGTCCACTTTCACCTTGGTTCCTCTCAGACCAGCCTTTAGCTCATTAATTTGGTCAGAATCCAAATTAAATTAAAGGAACTATCTGCAGGTATTATTTTTAACTTTTTCACAAGACTTCAAAAAATCTGAACTGTCACTTTAAATTAAGCTGAACTAGTTTGTGTTGTTTTAACACAAGATTTGTTGTGATACTCAGTAAGCTTCTAATAAAGTCGAATGCCAACATATTAAATAAAACTGAATGGCCTCCAAACAATTTAAAACCTTTATGTTCAACATATCATCACAGTCATCCATAATTTTATGTATTTTGCTCTGGTACTTGTCCTGGGATCATGGTAGGCTGGTTCAGGGAGTTTGTGGTGTTTGAGTTGGCGCAGCTCAAGCGTCTTTCGGCTGCGCTGCTGGTTCTCTGGATGAACTGAAGAAAGTTCTCCTGAAATGAGGCCTCCTGGCTGGACGCCGCCATCTCYGCAGGCTGGGTCAAGCAGCAGCGTCGAAACTTCACCAGCTCGTCTCTGATCTGTCGGTTCAGCATGCCGTAGAAGAACGGGTTGACTGCGAAGGAAGAGTAGGCCAGCCAGGTGACCACCTCCTCTAAGTCCCCGGGGCTCTGCATGGAACTGGTCAGAGACATTTGAAGGTGAAAGATGAAATAGGGCAGCCAGCAAACCAAGAACTGGCCGACGATGAACACCAAGGTGAGAGCAGCTTTCCCCCCGCCGAAGGCCCTCTCTGGAGACAGTCTTTGGGGCAGGGTGCAGGTGGTGGYGATCATGGTGGTTTGGCTGTTGATGGAGTCGGAGCGATCCTTGGCAGGACATGTGTTTACCCATGTTGGAACGGCAGGGACTTGCTGCAAAGCGGCCGAACGAGCGACCTTGTATACAGCACAGTAAACACCAAAGATAACCACTGAAGGAGCTAAAAAACAAGCCACACTGAAGAGCACGGCAAACACTTTTCTCAGGTGACTGTGGCTTGCGTGAAGAGAACAGTGACCTGCTGCGATGGAGCTCTGACGCCCATAAGCCGGCCACCCAAACAGTGTGACCAGAGCTAGGAGAAGGGACTTAACCCAGATCAGGAGCATGACACCAATAGCCAGGTTGATGGTCATCTTGACTTCGTAACGCATTGGGTGGACAATGTAGAAGTACCGCTCCAAGCTGATGGCGGTGATGGTGAGAATAGACAGACAAATGAGGAAAACGTTGAGAAAGATGTAAACCTGACACTCTAGAACCGTAAACACCACCGTGCCGAAGAACGGCGAGCTGGATATGATGCCCAGAGGCATGAGGAGGATRGCACAAAGCAGGTCCACGGCACAGAGGTGACACACAAACGCRAAGCGTTTCATGTGAGGCGCGCGAGCGATGGCCACCATCACACCAGTATTGGCCAACAAGGCGATAAGATTGAGAGTCACCATGCAGAACAACCCGAACAGGTCTTTGATCTGGGACTGGGAGCTTGTGACGATGCCCACATCTGCAGGGACTGTAGGAAGAGACTTCCACAGGGATGTGGTGAGGTTTGGAACTGGACGGTCTGACACAGAAGCTATCATGGAACCAGTCTTATCTGCCATCATTTATTCATGTCTTCTTTTGTTTGCAACTCTAATGGGCTTAAAAATAAACATCCTGTGAAAAGAGAACAAAACAACAATATCATTGTACTGTATTATTATCCAAATAAAACAGTTACTGTATTTTCATTAAAAATGGAACATCTACTATCAGAGGTGTATAAAGTACTTGAAAAAATAAAAGTAAAATTACTTTAACATAAAATGACTATGATAAAAAATGAATTTTACTGATAAGAAAAGTACTTAAGTYTTAAAACTGCTCACAATAACAGGAAAGTAAAAGTACTTTAACTTACACTCTTAGAAAAGAACTGTTGATTTTAATCAACCAAACTGATTCCACTAAACTGAGTTTAGTAAATAGAGCAATTTGCACAATGCTTCACATTTACTCAACTACTCTTAGTGAAACCAGTCGAAATAACATGGTTAAGCAAATTCAACACTTCATTTTTAGAGTGCATAAACCACTCCTTTCATCATGAGTTCAGTCATATCTGAATGTGTAATGTGTAACAAGGTGTTACATTTTAAAGT